AGCCAAAGTCGGACGCTTAACCGACTGAGCCACCCAGGCGCCCCAAATTAATTAGTCTTTTAAATGATCTTCTCCCAAGGCATGACCCAGAGAGACATGACGAACCTGGAATTTGCCTAAAGGCAGCAGTTTCTCCCAGAAACTGAGAACGCTGTGACTCTGAGCACAGATGTGAAGGCAAGGTGGTGTGCATCAGCCAGTCTGGGGACAACGTGGTGTGCATCAGCCACACAGGAGAAGAGGATTCTTGTGATGCGAGGTCCATCCTTACTGCAAAAGCTTTTCTCTACAATTAAGATACGCTATGTGCTTGAGGCTGCCCTGGCAATATTTCTTAAGTGTAAATGAAGTCTCTCTTTTTTTTAATTACTGGAAAAAATACCAATGAAAATGAAGTTCCACTGATTACTTTGGCTTTCAAATTCACTAACAGGACACAGTAGGCTAATTGGGGCTGCCGAGCACTACCCAACAACAGTGCTGGAGCCAGTTCCCGGGAGCATCCAGCTAGCAGCTGCTGTCAAATTATTTTCTATTCCCATTGTTAAACCCCAATTGGAAATTTCACAAATGGGGACTAGTTTCCTTGCCAACCTCAGAGACACCTACAGAGCTCCCCACAATCACAGGGCCAGAGGCAATTAGAGGCTCACCCAGCAGGCTTATAATATGTATGTAAGTGGACTTCAGAGGGTGTAGAAATGCGCCAAAATAAGGGCTGCATCATAGGCTGTCAATTTCATGGCAGCACGTCCCACTGAAAGGTCTTTTGACGTGTTCTTCCAAGACAAAGCGTGGCTCCAAGGAGGATGTACATATTCAGGAGAATCTAGGCTTCTTATCAAAGCAGTATGGTGTCCCAACTCCTCTTCCCAACCTCTTCTGTACTCATTTTGGTCCAAGTGCCTTCCAGTGACAGGGCACCCTCAGCATGTCTATGTGAGGCTTCCCTGCTATGGCATATGCTTTTGCCTTTCTTGTCTTCCTAGTGAACTCTTACCTATCTTATAAAGCCCGAGTTTAAAGACTTTTAAGAATTTTCTCCTATGATGAAAATTTACCAATGGATTGTCTTTCCTCTCAGGGAAGATACCCAAATGTCCATCGCCTGAAAGACTGCATGATCAGGTTCCTGCCTGTGCCCCAAGGGCCATATTCTAACACTTGTTTTCTGATGGGCTACTGTCCAGCCTCACTGACCTTTCTGAACCTGTAGATGGGCCTGGGAGAGCAGGGTCTGTGTGTGTGAGTTCATCCTGGGAAAAGGAATAAAGTCAGTGCATGCAAGGAGCCATGGGGAGGCTGGAATCACAGAAGCCAGAGCGTACCAAAGGTCTCATAGGCGGTCTTCCATGTTGGGCTTAGGTGCAAGGAGCAAGAAGGGATGAAGAAGGGGATCCAGTGTTTTCAAATTTATACATTTATTCAACTGAAACATGCCAAGCATGCTCCATGTTCCTATCATCTAATCCTTAGAATGACAAGGTAGGTGTTAGCCTAGTTTTATAGAATAGAGAAGAGTTGTTCAGGGAAGTTGCAATTTCTGCTGAGTCTGCACAGCTAGTAAGTGGCAGCGTTGAGATTTGACTCACACTCAAAATTTTCTGACTCCCAAGACTAAACTCTTTTCCCTTGTTCTGTGCAGGGTCACTTAAGGGAGTATATAGCAAAGGATTAACAATCGGAAAGCAGGGGTGCTGTGGCTTTTTGATTCCAGAGTTGTCAGATATGTCCAAAGGTAAAAGGTTTACAGAGTTTGTATCAATACATATCAGCTCCTGCATTTTCCCAAACACATAATTATAACAATAAAAGGATCAACTAGCAATGGGGAAGCAAGCCACAGTGAGAAGGAAACAGGCTTTGAAGACCTGCGGGCAGGCAGGTTTGGCGGAGTAATGTAGGGTCAGCTACTTCACCTCTCAGAGCCTCAGTTTCTTTATAAGGTGGGACTAAAAGCACTTTCTCACAGGACTGTAAACACCCAGGTTTGTAAAGGGCCTCCTTGCAACATTGGCTCTTAAAATTTCATCCAGGAAATTACATCAGGCACTTCCGCTCACATTTAATTGGCCAAGGCAAGTCACAGGACCACACCTCACTCCAACAAAGACAGTCCTAGCATCCCTGTCGGGGAAGAGGGCAGAAATGCTTGGTAGTGAATGCCATAGTAGGCACTTTCTCCCACATTCCTTTAAAATAAACATATACTTTGGTTTAATGTTTGAAAAGCATTTTTGAGAAATAGCTCTTAAATCAATTGAAATCAGGTGAAATATTATTGCTGTTACTTATAGAATGACAATACCATCTTTGGATGTGGCCTAGGTGAATACTGAGAAGGAATACCTCCCAGAAAATGGGTCGGGGACCACAAAGAACACTCCCCATCCTAGGGCAGGGCACTTAAAGCATCTGACCTGAGGGATTTCAGAATTGCTAGTGACCAGAAGGCTGTGTTTCTCTAATTCTTCCTCTTATTTAATGGAAATGTTATTTTGGTTATTCTGCCTGATTCCACTGTTGCTGTGTGTGTGTGTGTGTGTGTGTGTGTGTGTGTGTGTGTGTGTGTCTAGGGAATGATAGTTCCCCCTATTAGTGTAGAAGTCTCCAGATCAAGTAGAGTCACATCGGGTCCTGAGCTAGAGCCTCCTATGCATCTCAGCCTGATGAAGAGAGAGATCACCAGGAATCAGTCAGAGAATCTGGATGTTGAGCTTGGAGCCAGTAACAGGTGGAACTTTGGGGTTGCTTCATTTAGGGAAGGGTGGTTGTATTTTTTATGTGGGAAGGACAGTCAAATCTCTGTAGACTAAGTGGACAGACCATGGTGTCATCAGTTTTGTTCATAAAATATTTTCAGTTTTTCTTCCAGACACATTATAGATTTTACTTCCCTCTATTGTTGGGGTTAGGTGTGGACATATGAATTGCTTTGGCCAATAAAATGTGAGTAAAAATGATTGGTGTCACTCGTAGGTGAAAGCTGTAAGGGCTCATGCACCATTTGTCGTGTTTTCTTTGTCCTCTTTCTCAGTACAAAGCAATGTGGCTGCTCTATCTGCTTGGGTCTCAGCCTGAGGAAAAAGCAGAGGAGAGCCCCCCACTGATCTGCAGTAAGTATAAAGGGATAGTTATTTTAAGCGCCTGAGAATTGGCACTTGATTGTCACTGAAGCACAACTTAGCTTCTCATAACTGATTCAAAGAGGTCATCCTAGTTCTTTACAAAACCGTTTTTTATTTTGGCATAACTGTTTCCCCACCCAGTGGGCATGCAGCTGGACAGCAGTGGTTACAACTGCTCTTGCAGAGGTGAGGGCAGGTTTCCCTTGCAGGCTGGGGTGACAGGGAGGCCAGGGTGTTCTCTGGGGGCCTCTAGGGGAAGAGTCACGGTGAGATTCATAGTGAAGACATCACTAGGTCCCCTTTAATTTATGGGTGACATCCAGGCTACGTTCCAAAATATCCACAGGCTGCATGTGGTGTCCAGCTGGGGCACTGAATGAGGGCCATCTCTATGGCATAACTGTGTTCAGTGACTAGTCCTTCCTGTGCCATCTCTGAATCAGGGGTTTGTTGTACTCAGTATCCTGGACTCTTGCCAGATGACCCAGTCTCCCTTTTCTGAATTCCTGGGGAATTCTGCAACACTGATGAAGCTCTTACCAAGTTCTAATGAAATGTTCAATGAACATTTTAGTATCATGTGACATATATCAGATGTTAAACTGGTGACCTCAGCTTAAAAATATATTCTCTTCCCGGGGTGCCTAGATGTCTCAGTTGGTTAAGCATCCAACTTTGGCTCAGGTCATGATTATCTATCTATCCATCCATCCATCCATCGATCGATCGATCCATCCATCCATCCATCCATCCATCCATCCATCCTTCCATCTATTCACCTTCTCTTCCCTTGCCTCATTTGTGCTTTATTTCCTTCCTGGATTGTGTAGCTCTAGTGTTCCCAGGGCTGAGCTATGTACGCATCTTTCTGTCTTATCTCTCATGGCGTGGCCCAGAATTCACTCTTTATCTCAACCCAAAGGGGCCTATAACTCTCTGAGCTCACTCCTTGGTCAGCTGGTTCTTTGAAGGCATGTTCTTATACCGCAGCCCATCTCTTCTCTGAGCCCCCCATGGCGAATGGTCAAAGTCACAAATCTTAGCTTTTGAGGAATCCATCAACCTGAGGTTGGGTCACCTCAAAGGATTAATCTGCTTATTTTGGGAGCATTTTTCTTGCCCTCTGTTCTTTCATTGGCACTTTATAGCACCCTAGCTTTTATAGGAGCAAAAACAAGGTTTCCAACAGATCTGAGTGGATGACAGAGGTGAAATGTATGCTCAAAGAGCAGGTTTTCCTGCTTCCAAAGGAGTGATTAGCCTTCAAATTTGGGGAATGCAGGAGAGGCAGCAGCAGCACTGAGGAGGAAGCAGACACCTTCCAGTGGAAAGGCAACAAGGTACCTCTGTCTCTCAGCAATGAGCTGAACTTGAGAGTGGCCATCCATGGTCTCATGCCTATAGACAATCCACCCCTCATAGCCCTACATATGTGTGAGCTCCCAGAGCAGAGGGTTGGGGGCTTGGACAACTTGTGTGGGGATAAAAGGAGATCCTTGGTTCCTGGTTAGTGCTCAACAGAGCCAAAGGGCAATTTTGATATGGGATTCTACATTTAGCCTTTTCTCTATTCAGTCCCAGTTTGAAACCAGATAAAGTTGCAGAACAGTAAAAGGCATCAGCCTATTCAGAGGCAACCATGAAACTGCTCATGTTGACCTAAAATCAGAATCTGGTCTCCAGCCAAGTACTTTATTATGGCATAAGTTTAGTGTCTAGACTAATCCTTATTTTTATAAGTCCTGCTTTATTACTAAGGGGTAGTAAATTTTGGAAGCTAATTTGCACTTTGCTTGTTTTCCCCTTTTTTCTATCAGCCTTTCACGGACTGTACACACATGGGCCAGGGACAAGGGCTTGATGTACGGTTACCTTGCCAACAAGCGCCGACAGTAAGTTGCATCGCTATGTGAGATGGATGAATGGGCCAGTCATTGGTCACCAGATAGGGTTCATACGTTGCTCCATCCATGTACAAAGTAACCACAGGAAACTCCACATTGATGACATAGTAATGCCATTCTTTGTCACATATCTGATGAAAGGAAAGAAAAGCAACACTTAAAATTGAATATGCAATGAAACATCAAAAAGGCCTTTATTCTAATTATGAAAGGAGGAGAAGATATTTTGTGTGAGCAGTTTTTGTTGTGAAGAACCAAATGAATATAATGGTTGCTATAACTGAGGTTAGAGAAGTTCATGTCCAACACGACGGGGCAAACCATGGGGTGGAGGAACACCAGGGAGTCCAATCATCAGGCAAGTATTTGAGCATGGGCAGAGCATCTTGGTCACATAATTTACAGCTGTTGAGGCTGGCAAATTCTTGGGTGGACAGGTGGGGCTGATAGCTTAAATGTGGTTTGTATAAAATTTTTCTTAATTCTATACTAGAGAAGAAAGTTAAACTAAAATTATTTTCCTAAGCTTGGGGATAGATGAAGTTCTAAAAGAAAGATACTAGATTGAAAGTAGAAATGAAGATGGAGATAGAGATAGAGAAAGGGAGGAAGAAGGGAAAGAGAAAGAAGAAAGTGGGAGAGGATTAGGGGCTCAAAAGGAGCATGAGAGGAAGTGAAGAACAGGGGATGACAAAGAAGGTTGGAATGCAAAAGAACAGAAGTGCCCGATTCTGTTGTCTCTACTTTAAGACTTGCCCAAGGAGCTCCTGTAACCTCATGGCCCTTTCAACTCGAGCCAAATACATTCTGAGAAACACAGTCTACCCAGGAGGACTCCCATGCATCCTACCTTGGACTTCCTGGGGAGGCAGAGAAGGGTCACAGACAGTTCTCCTGGCCTGGATAAGTGCAGAGCACTCTTACACTTAAGGCCTTTCCCAACTTTTGTGCCCAATATTTTTGATCTTACAGGTGGTAACCAAAACAACTTTAATGGATGGGTAGAGACACTGGGGGCTAGGATGGAGCCATAATTCCTGACCTCAAGGAGCTGAACGCTCACAGCATGATCCGAAATAGAAACCAAGACTGGTGGGCCTTGGGAAGGGAGGTAGGAAGGTGGCCAGGCTGGAGAATGGTGTCCTTTCTCTCTGATCTCCTAAGCCAATGCCTTTGGAGTCACGTTCAAACCTCTCCTCCACACCTGCTCTCACACAAATCTCTCTGCACCCTGTGGAGTCCACCTCTGAAATGTCTCTCATCTGTATCCTCTTGTCTCCATCTCTCCCCCCCCCCCGCCCCATCTGTAGCAGCGGAGACAGATGAGTTCTACATGAAGTTGACCCCAAGGTGAGGGCATCAAAGCCCTCCCTACATCCCATTCTGGATTAAATGTGCTGTTTCTCATGAATAGATAACACCAACAGGGATGCTAAATGATCTTTTTCCTTTCATTTTGGAATAGGAATTTCTTCCTTAATGTTCTTTTTATATTGTCCTGTCTCCTGTCTCAGAAAATTGCTCCTTTTGAAGCCCATTAACCTGATAAAGCCTGATGAATATTTTAGGGACCCTTGGAAGGTAATCAGGAGGTGTCCAAGCAAGTATTTCCAAAACCCTGTTATGCCCCACTGCAAGTACAGCTCAGTACCTATTACTGAGGTCCTAACCTAGTTTACATCTGTCCTGCTCCATGTCTTGAGGCCAGATCCTGGGCTCGGACAGGCTCTTGGGCTGGGCCCGTGACTGGGGTAGGGCTGACCCAGTGGTGTGGGAGTGGTACAAAGGAAGACCTGGAGACAGAGTCTAGGGGTGGTGAACTAAGGAGGAGGCATCTAATCCAAGCAGGCCCGTCCAGTGGGCCTTGAAGTCTGCAGTCAAGAGTAGGCAGGTGGCATATTTCAGGGCCTGGCATATGGCTCACATCCAGGAGATGTTGTCTGAGGAATGGAGAAATCTCTAGCCAGTCCCAGGGTGGGGTGGGAGCAGGTGGCAGTGCCGTGACACTGACCGCACCCCATGTCCTTCAAAATGTAGGCAAAGCATTTGAGTCAACCAGGCAGCACTGGGGGGCTCGCCTGTGCTGGCCGCCATACCACCCTCTTGGCCACCATCTTCTCAGGCATGACTGCTGTGCAGGACCCGTGTGCTGATTCTACATCCCTCCACGCTGCTGATGCTGGAAGGAGATGGACCCTCTGGGCTTGCTTCCTTTCACAATCCTTACAGCATTTTTGTAGGACAATACAAAAAATTCCAAGGAAGAAATAAAATAATTCCACAACTAACAGCAGCAGTGACCCCTCTCAGTCTAGCAATTTTTCCCTAGGTGTTCCCCCCCAAGTATTCTGAAGTGTGCTTCATGAACAGCAGCTCCCATGATGCCCTGCAGAAAAACAATGACCATGTACACTGAGTCTTGTTTTTTATTTTTTTGATCTCCCATTTCATTTGCATAGCCAAGGCTCCCAGCAGCCTCAAAGTATATGCCTATAAGAACTTTCCAACCTTGTTGGTAAATGAACTTTTCTATTTATAGCATTCCTGTAAGTGTCCTGTGAAACAACAGCGGGGGAAGGTCAATTTGGATCACACTGTGTATACAATTTGAGTTTGCTGGCTTTGCTTAATGTCAGCATTAAAATGCCTTTACCAGCTTCAGTTTAGATGGCTGTATAGTATGCATATACTAAATGCTACTGAAATATCCCCTTAGTATCAGGTATTAATTATGGACCAGCAATTATAAAAGATGCTGTAACCTAATGCTCTATTTATTTATGAATAACGATTTATCCGCATTTCTGATTATACCCTTGGGAAAGACTCATGGAAGTGCAATTATCGAGGTTGGAGGTATTTTTTTTTTTTTTACAAATAGTTTATTGTCAAGTTGGTTTCCATATAACACCCAGTGCTCATCCCCACAAGTGCCCTCCTCCATGCCCACCTCCCCCTCCCCCCATCAGTCCTCAGTTTGTTCTCAGCATTCAAGAGTCTCTCATGGTTTGCCTCTCTCCCTCTCCCCTACTATGTCCCCCCTTCTTCTCCCCCATGGTCCTCTGTTAAGTTCCTCCTAATCCTCCTATACGTGCAAACATATGGTATTTGTCCTTCTCCGCCTGACTTATTTCACTCAGCGTAACACCCTTAAGGTCCATCCACGTTGCTACACATGTCCCGATTACATTCTTCCTCATTTCCACGTGGTATTCCATCGTATAGATAAACCACATCTTCTTGATCCATTCGTCTGTTGATGGACACTTAGGCTCTTTCCATGTTTTCGCTATTGTTGAAAGTGCTGCTATGAACACTGGGGTCCATGTACCCCTATGCGTCAGCGCTCCTGTATCCCTTGGGTAACTTCCTAGCAGTGCTATTGCTGGGTCATAGAGGAGTTCTGTTGTTAATTTTTTGAGGAACCTCCACACTGTTTTCCAGAGGGACTGCACCCAGTTTACATTCCCACCAACAGTGTAGGAGGGTGCCCGTTTCTCCACATCCTCGCCAGCATCTAGAGTCAGGTTGGAGGTATTTTGAAGGCTCCTGACACACATTGTCATTTTTTTTTTCCTGCAGAGGTTTGTGCCTATTTGTTCTCCTGCCCACAGTCTGTAAGAGTGCTTGTGTGTGGTACCTTTACCACAGTGAGTGTTAATAAAATATATAATCCTGGCAATTTGAAAGAGGAAACATTTTATCTCATTTTAAGATGGTTCACAAAAGATGGCTAGCTTTATATGCTCCAATGTCAAAAGGGAGGGCCTTCTGGGAGTGGGGAGCTCCCTGAGCTAAGACTCACAGGCCAGAATGCTGGGGGGCTTCCTCAGTTAGCTCCTGATCCGACCTCTTATCAGGCTTTGAGCTCAGACTAGGCTAATGTCTGCAGACTTCTCGCACCAAGTAATCTACGAAGGCAGTTAAAGGAGATGCCCAGTTAGGGTTTCACTAATGTGGATCTATGATCGGGAGGAGACCCACATTAGCCCTCTGCTAGAATTGGAGGGACAAACTGTAATTGAAAAATGATCAAGCCAGGAGGCAGCAAAAATAAATGTGTCAGTGCAATGGCTCAACCATGAAAGAAGGAAATTAGGCAAAGTGACCTCTCCCGGGGGGAGAGAAGAACTTTAATTCCTAACTGTTCATGAATTACTGGTGAATGCAGTTGGCACCAAGCAGGTCCAGTGTCATCCCCGGAGGCGGTGCCCAGGGCCTCGGCTTGGCCAGAGACACTTTCTCTGAAAACCTGCAGGTGTGCTCCCAGGGTGGGCGGCCTCAATGGTCTTTAGCCGGCAAGCGAAGCAGAGACCTGAGACCCAGGGACCCGTGTTGAGGAAGGGTAGGTAGCAGAGACGATGCCAAAAGAGGTTGTGTTGGGAGTAGGCCGGTACTCCAGGGTGAGCCGGGCCACGGAAGCCTCCCACGAGAGAGGAGGAGAAAATCAGGGTGCTAACTGCTTGGTCCAAATACCCTCTAAAGTATGCAGCCCCTAGCACATAGGGGAGATACATAGGGGAGGTAAGAGTGTCTCAGGTTGAATAGTTGCACTCAAGCATACCTGATTTCCTGGAAAAACCAACTCAGAACTTGCGCTGTGGCCCTTTAAAGGGTATCTGCACTGGGAGGCGGGGGGAAGGGGATGGGAAGCACAGACACCGAGTGTGGAGGGGTCAGGCTGGTATGGGAGAGGCCAGGGCAGGAGAGGAGGCCATAAGGACCTGGGGTGCTTTTATTCTGAAGGCACCACGAGGTGTGGGGGTCTGGGGCAGGGGGAGGAGGATGGTAGTCATAACAACAATCAACCCTGGAACATGTTTCTCCCTTTTCAAGCAGCTTCATAGGCCTTATGCTAGTGAATCCTCACTGCAACCCGGGACGGTGGGAGCTCCGGTTTGTCCTAGGCACCTTTACAACTGAAAGGGAGAGGAGGGGTATGGTTTCTGATCTCAAGGAGTGGATGTTGGGAGTTATATGTAACAGGTACCCCACTCGGGCTTCCACATTCAGCCTCTTGTGTCTCTATTTCACACACAAACAGGGGCTCAGCTTCGCCTACTCACTGCCAGATCAGGGTCTGGTGTAGACACCTACCTCCCGAGTGATGGACTGGCGCGTCAGGTTGCCC